TAAGGGCTGGCTTTAAGATTTAAAAAAAATAATATTTTAATTTAGTTTAAAGGATGAAACAGCCGAGATGGACCAATAGGTCCCATGTTGTCCCAAAACGTTGTTATATGTTATAACAAAGCATTAAATCACCCAGAGAGAGAGCTTGTTCAAGTTACAATAAAAAAAGAATTGAATCACATCATGGAAGACAACTGGTGTGCATTTTTATAACAACAACTAAAAAATATACATAGGAAACAAGAAATTTTATAGTTATTTCAGGGCTTGTCTTTATGCCCTCAGAAGCTTAAGAGATGTAACTTCACGTTTTGTTAAAATGTTTTTTATTTATTTGAAATATGCAAGTTAGAAAACATAATATTATCATGCACAGTAAGTATAATGTCCTAAAACTACTATAATTTAACTGGTTCAGGGCCATACCAATCGTTCGCAGTACCCTCCTAAAATAAATCTTATAAAACATGCACTTACCTTACCTTCAAATATGCAAAATTGCACCCCCCCTCCCTATGGATTGGTATTCTGTGCAAGCACATTGCTCCCACTACCCTTGGTATGGCCCTGAACTGACTTTATAACTTAGCTATAAATGGGTTAATAAAATTCCTTTAGCTGGTCAAGCCAATTTCCACAATAGCAAACAATGACACTGAGGTTAGAGAGAACTACTGACATTTTTTGAAAGATAGAATGTGGTATGTAGGTTTCACTTTCTTGTTTATATCTAAATAACACAAGAAGCGTAAAGACTAGAAACTTATATTATGGCTTTGTAATTTGTGTCAAACTTAGAAGTGGTAGAAAGAAACCCTAAAATGGACAAATCCGAGCAAAGAAGTGTCACCCAATACAGAGAAGTGAATACTGAGAATTTACTTAAGTATTTTCTTTTGACACTGATAAATTAAAACTAAAACTTAATTACAAACTACATTTTGATGGCAAGTTTATTGACATACATTGATAATAACATTTTAAAATTAAATTTTGAATGAAACTGTGTGTTAAGATTGTGAAATGCACACATTGGCCCATCCATGCACATATGGTTAAGTACAAAGTTACATAAATGGGCTATCTATGCTGTACCCACCATGAGTATCAAAACCTGAATTTTAGTGTTATAAGCCCTCATACCTACTATTGAGCCATCTATTGGCAGAAAGAACAAACACAATTTGTATCACGATGGCATTTTGTCTGAGAAACCATAACACACAAAGTCAGTTACATGTATTGAAATAAGTTATTTCATTTCATGAACCCTCCTAGAAAACCAACTTTTACAAGCTGATTCCATCTTAAAAGTACTAACATGAAAGCAGAAAATGCATCCCAATATTAATACTTTAAAATACAGTATAACAAACGTTTATTATTAACTTACTACATTATACTAACAGAGAGAGGAAATGTGTACTTATCTTATTACAGGGTTAGCTTCCTTGTGCTGTATTCAACAGTTGACAATCAACAAAACTAAACCTACCATAGTGTAAAGCTGATTTGCACATAGAGAAGGTCTGCAATCCTCCACCATTATCCCTAGCTAGTTGAGTGGTCAGATCTGTGGTGATGAACTGAGGCTGGCCCATGTTAAGTTCAGAGGGACAAACAGACTGAGACGCCACTGGTTCCCAAAGAAGTAGGTCAGTGCTAAATCTACCAGTAATAAAAAAATAATTTTTAACTAAAAAGTGACTAATTTTTACATTTTAGTTATTTTTATAACAATAAATAAAAAATATAAAGAGGAAACACTAAATTTTGTACTTATGTCTAGGCTTGTCTTTTTTGCCCTCAGAAAACTGAAGAACGATAACCTTACTTTTTTGTAAAATGTTAGCGTTTTACATAATGTGGGTTACATAAATTACTGAATCAAACTTCCCAAAGTTCAACACAAACTTTCTAAGAATTATGTAGTTTCTGTGTAAAAAAAAAAGCATTTATTACATTTAGTATTTGTAGGAATGTTTAGTTTCTGAAGGCTATGTTAAACACACATAAAACATTCTGTAATGAGACCTAAAACTTTCTGAACATTCAAAGAAGAATAAACTTTACCTGTCTGAAAGTAACATTTTACAGACCTTTCTTTGATTATTATGTAGAATATTATCTTAAGGTAGTATTCAGCTGGGAAATGAAAGTTCAGTTGAAGATATGAGTTTATACTTTTTAACTATTGTAACAATATTCATATGTAGTGCAGTGACACATGAATGACACAGATGTTTCAAAGTCATTAAGTTTAATGTAAAGTGTGTTAAGAAAAAAGTTGGAGGGGCATTCACCTTCTTGTATTTAGATTCAAATACATGATCAATAAATGTAAAGAGGTACCATGATATTAGATTGTTGAACCAGTTTTTAAGTTTGTTTGTTTGTTCGTTTGTTGAGTTTCACACAAAAGCAACTCGAGGGCTATCTGTGTTAGCTGTCCCAAATTTTTAAGTGATAGACTAGAGGGAAAGCAACTAGTCAACACCCACCTCTAGGACTACTCTTTACCAATAAATAGTAGGACTGACCATCACATTACAATGCTCCCACAGTTGAAAGAATGAGCACATCCTGTTGCAAATCAAGTACCCTAACCACCAGCCATTCCACACCATATGATACACAAATCTGCATTAGTTAACAGGATAGGTAATTAGCTGTTCTCCTAATTAAGAAAAAGCCAGATTTCACAGTAGTTAACTAATCCAGTTGGGAGCAGGTCTATTGAATTCACTCTGCACAAATTACTGAATCAAATATCATGAAATTTAACACAAACTTTCTAAAAAAATCATATAATTTCTGTGTAAAATAAAAGCATTTATTATATTTTGTAGTTGTAGGAACTTTTAGCTCTGAAATCTTACACATTTTGTTTGAAATGTTATTTTATTAAAAACAAAACAATCAAAAAACTTTAATTTTTTTTACTGCGTGTCTGCAACCTTGTAAATGCATCTAATGAATCTTTGGTTTCAATAAAACTACAGACTTTCTATTTTCAATCAAATAACACCATATAAAATCTAAGGAAACTTATATTTACAATCATTAACATAAAGAACTGATAAAACTGTAAACAATACCAAAACTGTAAGTGGAAATATTCTATTATTGTTGATCAGAAGTTCCATTTTATATATCCAATCAATTTGTTATAGATTCATTAACATATTTATCTTTGTTATTTTTGTTAGGTATGTTCTTTGCCCACTGAAGCAATTACATAACCCCATTAAAATGCATAAATATTATATGAGTTATAATGATTTAACACCAATGTGAAACTCATTGGGTCTGCTACTTGCTAACCCTAAATATCCTTACTTGAATTGTTGTAGGAAAATGTTCCTATAGCTTTCAAAGGGAAATAATATAAAACAAATACAGTATCAGTAACAAGAAAATCAAATTCAGAAACTATGGCAAAATTTCCAGACCTTTGATTAGTTGTGAACCGAGTTGACTTTGAAATGGGCAGCAACTGCCTATTAGCGAAACACCTGAAGACGAAAGGCAGACTTTTGAAACGTCATCTTCTACACTTGAGTTGCATAAGTAGATTGTATAGTTACCACATTTTTATAAGCGCTCTTCTAATAAGCAGTTGCTGCCCATTTCACAGTCAATTCAATATAAATACTTAGCCTAAACTATCTATCAAAGTCCAGTTGGGAATTATTTCTAAACCCAATATTCAAGTTTCAAGTGTGGCATTATCAGATTACTTCTTTAAAACTGGTAAAGGTAAACCAATAACGTATGTAATAATTATCAAGTTTTTTAGATGTTTTAAAGCTTAATACCTCACCTTTAGACAGTTTTTAGCACGAGTATGATGTATTTTTTTAACCTGAATGAATTTAACAAATAAAATATCGTAGATCAGCCTATACTATCTCCAGAAGCTTCAAAGATAACTAATTTTACATTATTTGTTGGTAGATGAGAATATAAGCCATGGTAGTAAGAAAACGAAAATATACAATATTCAGTTCAGATGGCTACAAACATTCAAACAATTAAATTGAAATATTTTTTAAAATCTTTATTTACAAAATTAAATAGATTATATAATATTTGTTCTAAGAGGGTCAATTGATGTCTCCATATTGACTAATTAAAATTTTATGTTTAAAGACTTTAAATTTTTTATAACACATTGAGCAGCTATTTTAAAAAGTTAGCTATTAGTTTCTTGTAGAATTAACAATTTTGAATACCCTTCTTTTGATATTTGCTTCGTGAACGGAATTAAATTAAATCTCAGAATAGTTACAAGTGCTTTGCACGCTATCCTGTTGTTCAGTTTTTTAACACATAGTCCAATAGGACAAAAGTTGTAGACTAAAACTGTTCATCTTGAATCACTAGCCATGTTTGGTTGGGGGAGATGTTGAAGTCAATAGTGAGGTCCAGAGCTTTGAGCTAATGTGAGTTTGACTAAATTTGTTCAATTTGAATTCAGCTTTTAATGAGGAAAGATGTTTATATCTCTTCACTGAGACAGTTTTTGTCACTGTGTGATTTTTTCATTTATTTAATATAGAACAAGTTAACTAGTTTTCTTTTACATCAAGAAGGAAAGCAGAGTTATCTTTCTACCTTTAAAGTTAGAACTAACTGTAAGGACTCTACTTTTAAAACAGAGTAATTACATTTCAGCCAGAAATTAATAGGTTAATAGAATGGGTATGAGACATAATATTTCTAGGGACAAGTAAAGAATACACATGCAACTTGCACAAAAGAACTGGGTTTTTCAACAAGATATTTTCTGTATGATGTCAAGCAAAAGAATAAACTGAATACCAAATTATATATGTATTTAAACAATATATCATCTGAAACAGCATTGATTCACAAAAGTTTTAATGGTACATTGTCACAAAAAATTTAAATTTTCATATTAAGACATTGTTATAAGTGATATTTAAAAGATTGGCACTTTTATAATTTAGAAAGTTCTAAGCTATAAAAATTGTAGTTTATTTCCTTGACCCAACAATTATAATCAGCCATCTAACCGGACATAACTTTCACAGTTATTAAACAAAAATGTTTTCTGAAAATCCCAAATGCAGACTTCGTGAAACAAAGATTCCATTTCCTTATATCTATTTATTAAACATTTATAAATAAAGCTTATGGTTAAAGTCATTAATAAAATCTCAACAGCATAAAACTGAGTACAAAATGACAAGAAGGTAAAGAATAAAATTCAGAGAGATGATTTTTTGATGTACAATAATCCAGAACTTCAGTTAATTTTAACTGCTATCTTTAAAAAAATTAAAGTCTTTACCTGTTATACAACACTTCATAGAAATGTTTGCTGGGAAAGAAAAGGCTGATGGTCGGAAGTGAGAATTCAAGAGAAATCTGAGTATTATTCAAAGTCTTCTCAACAAAATCAGCAAGCTGGGTTTTGTCTGCAGGCATAATAACCTATTGAAAATAAAGAGGAATGCTAACACATGACTTTCCAGCTAAATTTTGGGCAGCACACCCTTTATATCAAGAAGACAAATGAAACATTATAATCACATAAAATACGTTAACTCTTCAGGCTTTTAACGTGAGTACTCATATTTGTATCCTGTTGTTTACTAAATGTCTCAACTTAGGTAATTGAGCCGAAAGCTTGTGCATTAACCCTTTCGAGACGGGTCACGGATGAAAGGCCATGTCATCTCGTTTGTTGACTCTCATTCAAAAT